TATATATATATTGTATGTAGGTTTTAAAATTCATTCTCTTCTGACAGTGGTGCAATCAGGAGAGGACCAAGGGGTAAGTACTCACCTAAAGAAATTTTTAAAAAGCGAAAACATTGTCAAATTTTAAGAAAAATTAAGAAATGAGTACATGCTTTTTTATTATAAATTTTATAATACAGAACTGGTAAAAATTTTTGACTCTCCACTTAATGTTTCTGAATGCCACTGGCTTCTGGAACACCACATGTATTTTGCATTCATTTTGAATTGATGTTGATCTGAATAAAGCTCTGAAAATGGTCCCCTTTACTTATTCTGTTGGTTTCCTTCAGAATAGCAGTGTTTTATTCTTGATACTTATTGAAATTAACTTATTTAATGAACTGTTTAGAAACACATTTATTTCATTGGGGGATATATTTTCATAATTTTTAATTATCTTTGAGATTCTGAATTTAAGAAGCTTCTATAAATTACATAACACTATTTTTTTATAATTTTTACTACACCTGCATCCTTATAATGCACCATAATGCTACCAACTAGACCACTATAAAATTATGTAATGCTATAACAACACCCTATAGTGAACCTAGAATAAAAATTTCTTAAAAAATTTGTTTCCTCACAAAATATTTAAATGATATAATATTTGCTTTTCTTCANCGATCTTCTAAGTAGGTAACTCGATAACGACCTGTTGTCACATCTATTTCCCGGTCATTAAAATACCAAGTTACTTGTGGTCTAGGATTTCCACTTATTATACATTCAATCGTTGTTGAACTTCCAATAGTTTTTGCAAAGACATCCCTAAGAGGTGCTCTAAATGTAGGTGGTTGAGGTTTCTCTGTAATAAGTTTTATGAAACAAGTACAGTAAGAATCCACTTAATGCTGCATCGATTAATACTGATTTGATATAACGCAGTCTACTTGAAGCTTAAAAAAAACTCAAAATTTACACTAAAAATTTACAATATTCAAATTATTGCAGCATTTCATTGATTATTTCCAAACATGAACCAGTCAGCAAAAGGTGGCAATTTCTTGTAGTGCTGTACTTTCCTTAAATCTATGTTTGATGCAATTTTGGAAAAAATATATCATCATGGATGCCATAGACAATACAGTAGAGTCTCGAAACTCAGCCTAATGTGGACCGAAGGGTGGCCGAGTTTGTGAAAATGCCGGGTTATTGGGAATGGCGTTAAAAAAGTAAGTATGAGCGTTTCCTCAGAAAATACTGTACTGTACTTGTATGTATTGTTTACTTCAGAATACAACAGAGAATAAACTGCCCAAATACCCTTAAACAAAGGAAAAGTACGTCTTTTATGAAGGCATAGAGCCTTTACTACATGAAAATGAAAATTAATGAATACACTGTGTACAGTAATTTACTTGTTAAGACAGACCTCAGAAAAACACTTTATGAGGCATAAAGCTGTCTTTATCATGAAAATTAATTAACTAAGGTATTTTTTGCCCTGCCAGGGTATGGCCGAGTTATCTGGAGTGCCGGGTTATCGAGTGCCGAGTTTTCGAGGCTCTACTGTATTAACTTTGCTTGGCAAGAATTAACTGATAAATGCATGAAAAAAGTATGGAAGAAGTTATGGCTGAAGGTATCTAAGAATTCTCAACGAGAAGAACCTATCACTGTATCATTAGGTTGACCAAATCGTCAACCTAATCAATACAGCAAGTCTAGGAGGTGTAGACAAGCAGGATATTGAGGAGTTACTGCAGGTTTCTGGTGAGAGCCTTTCCAACAATGACCTTCATGAACTGGCAGAACAAGGAATTCATGTAGAACTGGAAAACAGAGATTCTGAAAAGGAAGAACCCAAGAAATTTCCCTAAAGATTTGCTTAGTAAAAGTTTGGTAACAATAACTGAAATTGTTGATCAAATTGTAGCGAATGATCCAGATTTTGAAAGAGTGCAAAAGCAAGACAAGTCGTTTTGGATGTAATCTCTTGCTACAAACATTTGTTTAAGGAAAGAAAAAGTGACAAATGAAACTACACAACTTTATCACAAAACACAAAAATTTCAGAATAGCCAGGACCTTCATCACAAAAATGAACTTTACATTTCTGTGTGCATATGTTTGTGTTATTTAACATATATTATTATGCAAATTAATATAAAAATAACTTAAAATTAAAGTAAAATTTGTTTATTTTTGGTCATGTGTTCCCCTTTCCCTATTTACTCTATGTTAAAATGACCTCATTTAACACTGTGTCGTTTTAGTGGGGGATGTGTTCTTAGACGACAAAGCACTAAATGAAACAGTGTTAAACGAGGTCATTTTAACATTATAATTAAATTATTAAATTAAATTAATTAATTAAATTATAAAATTATAATTAAATTGTTGTAATTATGTTAATTATTATGTGAGAATGTAGTAATATCCATTAAAACATTGGAAAACAGGTTTCACATTTTCCATTACAATTTCTCATTGTGGGTACCTTGTTCACGTGACATGTGTCCAACAGATAATCATTTTCTTCCTATGCTCATTACAACATATTCATTGCCACTCCTTTCACAATAGCCACAATTCTACAGCTTCTGTAAATTACTCATTGTGCACAAAGATGAGCAATTCACCTTTGTGAACTGCAGAATACAAAATGCTTTCTCTGTTGTAGAGTCACCATTTTCATTTACAGTGCTTCCTGGAGGTAGTAACGACAAGATGTTTTAATGCAGATGGAAGATGAAACTCAGACATTTAGTTTATGGTATATATTACATACTTCTTGAAGAATAATTAACATAAATACAGTAATTTAAAATGGTAGCATTCATTTTGGAAGACTATATATATAAATAGAATATATAGATTAAAAAATTGTGCTACTGTGATAAAATTAAAAGCTGGTACCAATATTTTTAATTAAGCATTAGTGAGTATAATCTTAAAATATTAATTTAAAGTTGTAAAAAAATGTATAAAATTTATAATACAGTGTAGCAAATTAATATTAGATTTTTTATATTGAATTAAAAACATTGAATTTAATTTTAAATATAATTAAATAAATTTAAAATAGAATTTATGTATTTATAAAACTTTGCAAGAAATGTCATTATTACAGCTTTTATTTTTACTATTTTGTATTACTAATATATTATTATAGTAAGAAACACAATAGATTTATTATTTATGATAAAGAATAATAAATATCATACACACCTCCAACATATAGGAATGCAGTTGATATTTGTTCACCATTTTCATTTACCGCCTTGCATGTATATCTTCCTTCCACATCATAATCAATTCGAAGAATATGCAGAAGAATACGATCTTCTAAGTAGGTAACTCGATAACGACCTGTTGTCACATCTATTTCCCGGTCATTAAAATACCAAGTTACTTGTGGTCTAGGATTTCCACTTATTATACATTCAATCGTTGTTGAACTTCCAATAGTTTTTGCAAAGACATCCCTAAGAGGTGCTCTAAATGTAGGTGGTTGAGGTTTCTCTGTAATAAGTTTTAAGAAATTTTTTAATAAGAAATAAGTAATCTGTAAAAACCTAATAAAACTATTAATCATCCTCAAGAATGCTCATCATCTTAGGTACAGTACATGAAGTTTTTCTTGTTTTTTTCTAAATCTCTCATTACTTACTCATTACAAAAACAAGAAATTTATATGTGTATATTAAATCTAAATGTTTTCAATCTTAATTTTTATTTTTAGGAATACTAAAAACAATTTGAATAAACATTTTGTTTGAAATTGTTAAATTTCTTAAAAATAAATTCAGTAACAAAAATTCAGTAATAAATTAATTCAGTAACGAAAAATAACAAAATACAATAATAATTCTGTGAGTTTTTTCTAATGATAATAAGTTTCTTAACATTCTTCAGGAATAAAGTCTTTATTGGGAATTTTTTAATGCTTTTTGAAACTGTATAAAGTGTGATAATAATGACAACATTGGAAATTTCTATATGTTTTATTCAGTTTTCTTATGAATATATAAAGTTTTTAAATTAACAAGATATTGACAAAATGGCTTTATACTTTAAAAACTTATAAATGTTTATCAAATTTGAATAATCCGACACTGTCATCATCATCAAAAGCTAGACAATTAATGATAACAATAACTTTAATTTTAGTTTTTTTTTTCATATGAGGGTAGTTTAATTTTTACATAATCAGTAGATTTTCCAATCACTGTAATTGTATTTTATTTAAAAAAAAAATAGCATTATGTGAATAGAAATGGTCATAAGCAGGGGGTCCCCAAACTACAGCCTGAGAGCCAGATCTGGCCCACGATGAGATTTTATCTAGTTCAATAACTAGCTTCTAGATAACTAAAAAAAAAATCACAATTTAAAAAAATATTTAACTTGTATTAAACAATTCAAACTGAAGCCAGGGAGAGTAAGCAATAAGACCACATTTATTTAAAAACAGAGGTCCCATTTTTTTGGAAAATCCAAAACTTGGATAACTACCTAACTGCTTCCCAAAATAAATGATATTTGTAATGTATTTTCTTAATAATCATAGAACCAGAGCCGGTCCTACCATAGGGCGAACGGAGCAGACGCTCCAGGCGCCAAGTCCTAGGGAGTGCCTCAGTAGTAAAGAAAATTAAAAGGTATAAATTAGGGGCAACCAAGGGGGCACCATAATAGGATCTCGCTCCATCTTAAAACAGGCCTTGGGCCGGCACTGCATAGAACCTTATTAAAATTTACATATATAGATATGTGCAATATTAAATCACTCTGGCCCACTGCTGTTGTCAGAATTAGTAATGTGGCCCTCCTCTTGAAAAGTTTGGGGACCCGTGTCATAAATATTAGAAAAAAATATTTGACCATGCAGTATGATTAATTGATTATGTCATTCCAAAATTATGTAATGATACATTCAATACGCAGTAGACCCTTGTTATATTGCTCCTTATTATATCACTCATTCAGATACATTGCATATTTTTTTTCTCCCAAATATGAAAGCGCTTAACCAATAATGGATAGCTGCATTGGTTATATTGTGTCATCTGATATATCACTTGTTTGCTTTGTCTCCCTACATGCACGATATAATGATGAGCTACCTTATTGTTTTTATACATGACAGACTACTAATTATTTATAAAATACAAACACTCAAAAGTAGCTTTGTAACTACTAAATTATATTCTAATAAAAGCATGCTAAGAAATAATGCAGTAACATTTGATCTTACTTAATATATATTAAGCTAATGTATATAATTTTGATTATTACATATAAGCAATTGCTTGTATGTATATTATGGAACAAATAAGATGCTCAATGCAATAATTGTTATTTATTTCAATTCATTTAAGTCATTTAAATAAACTAATTTTTCAACAGTGTGCTATGCACAGAGTGGTCCATAAGTCAGATAACCATGACATCAATTACACAATTACATTTGAATTACATGAACAAGTTATAAAAGAACTTTGATACATTTTTTTAAAGTATTGTAATTTATGAGTTAAAAACAAATTATTTCATTTTGAGAAATTAAGGTTCTGCAATGGTTAACTGACTTTTGGACCTAGGGATGCATTAACAGATACACAACCAAGTTGCTTTTGCCTTCTAAGGAACCTCATCTCACTGCTCATTAGTAATATTTTTGTACTATATCTGTATTTGTATAATGCCTTCCTAGTAAAAATATCATTTCACCATTTTTAAATATCAAGTGATAGCTCAAAAATCTCTTTAGATATGATGTTTTAAATGACCAAATGATGAGGTATTATATCATTTGATATAACTAATGATATGATTTCAAATGACCAAATAAATAATGTGACATGCTATGAAATGATGGTATCACTTGTTATTGAGTAATGTCATTTGAAATCAATCGGAAACCATTACAAAAATGATATCAAGAGATATTGTGTCTAAGATGATTTTCAGACAGTTTCAAATGAAACAAGTGCATTTTTACAATATTTTTCAAGGTATTTTCAAAAGCTTCTAGACATGATATCAAATGATGTCAATTGCAACAAGTTACTTGACATTATTTCAAAAATTTAAAGTGCACAAAATATTTTAACAGATGAAAATAAATAATACATCATGAAAACACTAAGTGATATCTTTCCTATCATTTGCCAAATACAACATGATGTCAAATGTTGTTATATCGTATCATGTCTTGTCATTTGAAATCATGTACTGTACCATTAACACACAACTTCAAATGATATTTTTACTAGGGAGCTCTAAAGAAATTGGGCTAGGACTCTTAAAAAGTATTTAAAATAGCCATCCGTACCACTCTATATTATTAGAGATTTACGTAAATTTTAAAATTAAAGATAAGTTTTAAATTACTTATCTATATAAAATTTAGAACTTAATTATAGATTATAAATTACAGTAAGTAGAAAACCTATCCTACCAGCTTCTCGTTTCCTTGTTTCTTCATGAACTATCCAATCAGGTTTCTTTGGAGTATATTCTACATATTAAATATTAAATATTTTAGTAATTCTGCTATAGAAAGTTAGTTTTAAAAATAATTTTTAAAAGTTTCTTCACTCACACAACATGACACTGACTTTTTATATGAATGGAAGAATATTGTGTTGATGTATGAACAATATTGATGTTTGAATGTTTAATGTAAAATAATGACAACATACAATTTTTTTATAAAAATAGTTTTATTAAAATATATTTCATACAAAGTATTTAAAAAAAAAAATCCATGAGTTATTCTGATGCTGTGCTAAAAACTTTTAAAATAAAATTATTTATTAAAAGATAAAAATATTAAAATTATAAAATGTTATTAAAAATAAAAAACATATATAAATTTAAAATAAATGAGAAAATAAATTCATCTTATTTTCTTGAAATAGTTGTAAATATCTTGTATTGATTGAATGCTAACTTTGGACTATATGAAGGATGTTGCAGGATCTTCCAATTCCTCTGCGCCAACCACAGTTTGGATTAATTTGACCTGTGGAGTATAGTCTAGATTTAGCCCCCTTGGATTTTCATTTATTCAGACCTTTAAACANTATATATATATTGTATGTAGGTTTTAAAATTCATTCTCTTCTGACAGTGGTGCAATCAGGAGAGGACCAAGGGGTAAGTACTCACCTAAAGAAATTTTTAAAAAGCGAAAACATTGTCAAATTTTAAGAAAAATTAAGAAATGAGTACATGCTTTTTTATTATAAATTTTATAATACAGAACTGGTAAAAATTTTTGACTCTCCACTTAATGTTTCTGAATGCCACTGGCTTCTGGAACACCACATGTATTTTGCATTCATTTTGAATTGATGTTGATCTGAATAAAGCTCTGAAAATGGTCCCCTTTACTTATTCTGTTGGTTTCCTTCAGAATAGCAGTGTTTTATTCTTGATACTTATTGAAATTAACTTATTTAATGAACTGTTTAGAAACACATTTATTTCATTGGGGGATATATTTTCATAATTTTTAATTATCTTTGAGATTCTGAATTTAAGAAGCTTCTATAAATTACATAACACTATTTTTTTATAATTTTTACTACACCTGCATCCTTATAATGCACCATAATGCTACCAACTAGACCACTATAAAATTATGTAATGCTATAACAACACCCTATAGTGAACCTAGAATAAAAATTTCTTAAAAAATTTGTTTCCTCACAAAATATTTAAATGATATAATATTTGCTTTTCTTCAGATAATAAAAAAAATAATTTATTTTCTCATTTATATTCAATCTCAATATATATTACAACTAAAATTATAAATGTATGTTAAATCATAAAGAAACAATCCATATTTTTATTTCCATAATTTAAATAACTAAAAAATGTATGAAAAAAAGTAAATTAAGAAATACAAAATTTAAAATTAAATTTATTTAAATAGTAATAAATCATTTGGATAACATTACTCTTTCAATATTTATCTTTGTATAAGTGAGCTTGTGATTTATTTCTTATACACAATAAAGTTTCTCACTCTAGTAAACTGATTGCTAGTTTCTAGAAAATTCGGGTTTTCTTTAAAATAATAATTAGATTTATCATTATCACAAGATAAACAGAAAAGATAGAAGTAAAATGTTTAATTATTATTTTTGACTGTAAACTTATTAAATAAGTTTACAGTCAAAAATAATAATTAAACATTTTACTTCTATATTTTATATAGAATCTATAATCTGAACAACTTGACTGTAAACTTATTAAATAAGTTTACAGTCAAGTTGTTCAGATTAAAAATATAAAAAAATTTTTGGCAAGTTTTATTTATCGTTAGCTTTTATATTTTTAATTTGGATAAAAGGATTTTTTTTCTAAATTTTTTTTTGCAACAGCTCTCGTTTTTTATTGTTTGTTATATTTTTTTATGTCTGTTTTTTATTTAAAACATGATATCTTAATAGCAGATAAAACATTTTTATGTCATTATATCAAGTACTTTAAGTGTAGCACTTAATAGGTAATGTAGTTTGACAGCTTTTTCCTATCTGTTAAGCAATTTTTCAAGGCAGTTGTTGTAACTGAAAGCGTACTTAAATTATTTTCCTGTTTTAAATTTCATGTACAGTAATTCTTTGTTTTAGTTTTGTATTTTCTGATGTTGAGTTGACAGGGCTGAGTGATATACAAAAATATATATATATATATTAAGTCTTGAATTATTTTACAAATTGATGGAAGCAGGAGAAATGTATCACCAAATTTAAACATTACTGTTGGAGAGAGTGAACTAATGTAAGTGTCTTAAGGTATAAATTGTTATATTTGATTAGAAATTTACATTAATAATAATAATAATAATAAACAAAATATTGTATTTTAGGGATTCAAATCCATTCAGAATACTTCAATAACTGAATGATCAAAAGAAGATATTCAGAACGATGAATTTAGAAATTACGAGCTGATAAGATTGACAAAGGTAAACTAATAAAATAGCTACATTAGTTTGCTTAAACTTAAAAGTAGACAAACTTCATAGAAGAAAATTGTTAAGAATATGCAATGTTTCCATAAGTTTTACACTTCAGTCTCTAATTATACTTATTTCCATTTTTTTCTTTTAGATCAATTTGTCAATCTTTCAATAACATATTTTGCATATAATAATAGACAGATTAAATACTTTTACATATTATTTGTTAAATTTCATCTTTTATTTTAAAGCATAAATTAAAAATCATTTAATTAAAAACTACTTTTTTGTTGATCATAATTAACATATATATCATCAACAGTTTATCTTATTTTTGAGTTTCTCCTTTAAGTTTATAAATTTGGTTATTACTTAAAAATTATATTACATAATTTATTTTTTTAAATTTTAAATATTACTCCTTAAATTTATTAATTTTAAATGTCTTCCAACTTTCAATAAATACTTTTATTAGCTAAGATAAGTTAAATAAAATATAAGTAGTTTTGTTTTTAATCTTAATATGTAATTTTAAAGTTTTACACTTCAGTCTCTAATTATACTTATTTCCATTTNATTTAACATTATAATTAAATTATTAAATTAAATTAATTAATTAAATTATAAAATTATAATTAAATTGTTGTAATTATGTTAATTATTATGTGAGAATGTAGTAATATCCATTAAAACATTGGAAAACAGGTTTCACATTTTCCATTACAATTTCTCATTGTGGGTACCTTGTTCACGTGACATGTGTCCAACAGATAATCATTTTCTTCCTATGCTCATTACAACATATTCATTGCCACTCCTTTCACAATAGCCACAATTCTACAGCTTCTGTAAATTACTCATTGTGCACAAAGATGAGCAATTCACCTTTGTGAACTGCAGAATACAAAATGCTTTCTCTGTTGTAGAGTCACCATTTTCATTTACAGTGCTTCCTGGAGGTAGTAACGACAAGATGTTTTAATGCAGATGGAAGATGAAACTCAGACATTTAGTTTATGGTATATATTACATACTTCTTGAAGAATAATTAACATAAATACAGTAATTTAAAATGGTAGCATTCATTTTGGAAGACTATATATATAAATAGAATATATAGATTAAAAAATTGTGCTACTGTGATAAAATTAAAAGCTGGTACCAATATTTTTAATTAAGCATTAGTGAGTATAATCTTAAAATATTAATTTAAAGTTGTAAAAAAATGTATAAAATTTATAATACAGTGTAGCAAATTAATATTAGATTTTTTATATTGAATTAAAAACATTGAATTTAATTTTAAATATAATTAAATAAATTTAAAATAGAATTTATGTATTTATAAAACTTTGCAAGAAATGTCATTATTACAGCTTTTATTTTTACTATTTTGTATTACTAATATATTATTATAGTAAGAAACACAATAGATTTATTATTTATGATAAAGAATAATAAATATCATACACACCTCCAACATATAGGAATGCAGTTGATATTTGTTCACCATTTTCATTTACCGCCTTGCATGTATATCTTCCTTCCACATCATAATCAATTCGAAGAATATGCAGAAGAATACGATCTTCTAAGTAGGTAACTCGATAACGACCTGTTGTCACATCTATTTCCCGGTCATTAAAATACCAAGTTACTTGTGGTCTAGGATTTCCACTTATTATACATTCAATCGTTGTTGAACTTCCAATAGTTTTTGCAAAGACATCCCTAAGAGGTGCTCTAAATGTAGGTGGTTGAGGTTTCTCTGTAATAAGTTTTAAGAAATTTTTTAATAAGAAATAAGTAATCTGTAAAAACCTAATAAAACTATTAATCATCCTCAAGAATGCTCATCATCTTAGGTACAGTACATGAAGTTTTTCTTGTTTTTTTCTAAATCTCTCATTACTTACTCATTACAAAAACAAGAAATTTATATGTGTATATTAAATCTAAATGTTTTCAATCTTAATTTTTATTTTTAGGAATACTAAAAACAATTTGAATAAACATTTTGTTTGAAATTGTTAAATTTCTTAAAAATAAATTCAGTAACAAAAATTCAGTAATAAATTAATTCAGTAACGAAAAATAACAAAATACAATAATAATTCTGTGAGTTTTTTCTAATGATAATAAGTTTCTTAACATTCTTCAGGAATAAAGTCTTTATTGGGAATTTTTTAATGCTTTTTGAAACTGTATAAAGTGTGATAATAATGACAACATTGGAAATTTCTATATGTTTTATTCAGTTTTCTTATGAATATATAAAGTTTTTAAATTAACAAGATATTGACAAAATGGCTTTATACTTTAAAAACTTATAAATGTTTATCAAATTTGAATAATCCGACACTGTCATCATCATCAAAAGCTAGACAATTAATGATAACAATAACTTTAATTTTAGTTTTTTTTTTCATATGAGGGTAGTTTAATTTTTACATAATCAGTAGATTTTCCAATCACTGTAATTGTATTTTATTTAAAAAAAAAATAGCATTATGTGAATAGAAATGGTCATAAGCAGGGGGTCCCCAAACTACAGCCTGAGAGCCAGATCTGGCCCACGATGAGATTTTATCTAGTTCATATTGCTTCTAGATAACTAAAAAAAAAATCACAATTTAAAAAAATATTTAACTTGTATTAAACAATTCAAACTGAAGCCAGGGAGAGTAAGCAATAAGACCACATTTATTTAAAAACAGAGGTCCCATTTTTTTGGAAAATCCAAAACTTGGATAACTACCTAACTGCTTCCCAAAATAAATGATATTTGTAATGTATTTTCTTAATAATCATAGAACCAGAGCCGGTCCTACCATAGGGCGAACGGAGCAGACGCTCCAGGCGCCAAGTCCTAGGGAGTGCCTCAGTAGTAAAGAAAATTAAAAGGTATAAATTAGGGGCAACCAAGGGGGCACCATAATAGGATCTCGCTCCATCTTAAAACAGGCCTTGGGCCGGCACTGCATAGAACCTTATTAAAATTTACATATATAGATATGTGCAATATTAAATCACTCTGGCCCACTGCTGTTGTCAGAATTAGTAATGTGGCCCTCCTCTTGAAAAGTTTGGGGACCCGTGTCATAAGTATTAGAAAAAAATATTTGACCATGCAGTATGATTAATTGATTATGTCATTCCAAAATTATGTAATGATACATTCAATACGCAGTAGACCCTTGTTATATTGCTCCTTATTATATCACTCATTCAGATACATTGCATATTTTTTTTTCTCCCAAATATGAAAGCGCTTAACCAATAATGGATAGCTGCATTGGTTATATTGTGTCATCTGATATATCACTTGTTTGCTTTGTCTCCCTACATGCACGATATAATGATGAGCTACCTTATTGTTTTTATACATGACAGACTACTAATTATTTATAAAATACAACCACTCAAAAGTAGCTTTGTAACTACTAAATTATATTCTAATAAAAGCATGCTAAGAAATAATGCAGTAACATTTGATCTTACTTAATATATATTAAGCTAATGTATATAATTTTGATTATTACATATAAGCAATTGCTTGTATGTATATTATGGAACAAATAAGATGCTCAATGCAATAATTGTTATTTATTTCAATTCATTTAAGTCATTTAAATAAACTAATTTTTCAACAGTGTGCTATGCACAGAGTGGTCCATAAGTCAGATAACCATGACATCAATTACACAATTACATTTGAATTACATGAACAAGTTATAAAAGAACTTTGATACATTTTTTTAAAGTATTGTAATTTATGAGTTAAAAACAAATTATTTCATTTTGAGAAATTAAGGTTCTGCAATGGTTAACTGACTTTTGGACCTAGGGATGCATTAACAGATACACAACCAAGTTGCTTTTGCCTTCTAAGGAACCTCATCTCACTGCTCATTAGTAATATTTTTGTACTATATCTGTATTTGTATAATGCCTTCCTAGTAAAAATATCATTTCATCATTTTTAAATATCAAGTGATAGCTCAAAAATCTCTTTAGATATGATGTTTTAAATGACCAAATGATGAGGTATTATATCATTTGATATAACTAATGATATGATTTCAAATGACCAAATAAATAATGTGACATGCTATGAAATGATGGTATCACTTGTTATTGAGTAATGTCATTTGAAATCAATCGGAAACCATTACAAAAATGATATCAAGAGATATTGTGTCTAAGATGATTTTCAGACAGTTTCAAATGAAACAAGTGCATTTTTACAATATTTTTCAAGGTATTTTCAAAAGCTTCTAGACATGATATCAAATGATGTCAATTGCAACAAGTTACTTGACATTATTTCAAAAATTTAAAGTGCACAAAATATTTTAACAGATGAAAATAAATAATACATCATGAAAACACTAAGTGATATCTTTCCTATCATTTGCCAAATACAACATGATGTCAAATGTTGTTATATCGTATCATGTCTTGTCATTTGAAATCATGTACTGTACCATTAACACACAACTTCAAATGATATTTTTACTAGGGAGCTCTAAAGAAATTGGGCTAGGACTCTTAAAAAGTATTTAAAATAGCCATCCGTACCACTCTATATTATTAGAGATTTACGTAAATTTTAAAATTAAAGATAAGTTTTAAATTACTTATCTATATAAAATTTAGAACTTAATTATAGATTATAAATTACAGTAAGTAGAAAACCTATCCTACCAGCTTCTCGTTTCCTTGTTTCTTCATGAACTATCCAATCAGGTTTCTTTGGAGTATATTCTACATATTAAATATTAAATATTTTAGTAATTCTGCTATAGAAAGTTAGTTTTAAAAATAATTTTTAAAAGTTTCTTCACTCACACAACATGACACTGACTTTTTATATGAATGGAAGAATATTGTGTTGATGTATGAACAATATTGATGTTTGAATGTTTAATGTAAAATAATGACAACATACAATTTTTTTATAAAAATAGTTTTATTAAAATATATTTCATACAAAGTATTTAAAAAAAAAAATCCATGAGTTATTCTGATGCTGTGCTAAAAACTTTTAAAATAAAATTATTTATTAAAAGATAAAAATATTAAAATTATAAAATGTTATTAAAAATAAAAAACATATATAAATTTAAAATAAATGAGAAAATAAATTCATCTTATTTTCTTGAAATAGTTGTAAATATCTTGTATTGATTGAATGCTAACTTTGGACTATATGAAGGATGTTGCAGGATCTTCCAATTCCTCTGCGCCAACCACAGTTTGGATTAATTTGACCTGTGGAGTATAGTCTAGATTTAGCCCCCTTGGATTTTCATTTATTCAGACCTTTAAACAAATCTTTTGGCAGGGAAATTCTTTGCAGATCAGGAGGAATTGGAAGACACTGTTCTGGACTACTCGAGCAACTTGACAACAGTACCATGTAAAGATGTTCAAACTAGTGTCATGTTAGGATAAATGTCTCAATGTTTACAACAATTATGTCAAGAAATAAACAAAAGTATGTAGTTTTTGTGGAATGTATTAAATATTTTCTGTAATTATAAATGTTAGTGTAATTTTGGCCTGTACCTTTAATATCAGACTCCCCTTGTAAATACTCCTAAAAAGAAGTAAAGCATGAACATAAATTTATTTATTCTAGAATAAATTTATTGTAAATGGATTTGTAAATGAAGGTGAATTGGAAAAAACAACATATTTTCCCAAAAGTATCACCTAATTGCTACTGATTACATATAGAACAGGGGTGGCAAACCTATGGCATGCGTGCCCAAAGTGGCACGTAAGGAGAAATCATCTGGCATGTATCATACAATTTCTGTCTTTTTCAATCATCTTTTCAGTTTATCACCTGATCATCCTTTTTTTAATCAGCGTTTTACATTTATTCTAATTAAAGCATATTCGTTTAATTTCTTTAAATATCTTTATTCGAAGTCTGAAACTTTGACACGCATAAACATCTCTAAAGCTAAGTATGCTTACAATATGGCACACAAACACAAAAAGGTTCACCATCCCTGATATAGTAGATATCACAGCAGATGCATTCTTAGCACCCAAGCACAACATATATAATTGTGCATGTTTTAATAGCATGATAATAGAATAGTCATTTTTAATATTAGTATAACATTTAATTTTAATTATTTGTTGTCTATTATAGCACCTATATGTGTGTACCATAATAAATATATGTTTTATTGAAAAAATTAGTATATCTATTTAATATTTTTCTTCTTTATGTTTTGTACATTTTGATATTTCTATTTTTTATTGAAATTATGAACTTCTATAAGACATTTTACCATTTTTATAAATATCAAGAAGAAGCAACTGCTTTAAGGAAACCAAAAGTTTTTGCCAAGGAGAAATGTTTTCAGATCTTTATTCAGATAAGAACATATTTACTGTTATTACTAATTTTGTATTATAAGATTGTTTTTGGTATAATTTTGTTTATTATATNTAAAGCTCTGAAAATGGTCCCCTTTACTTATTCTGTTGGTTTCCTTCAGAATAGCAGTGTTTTATTCTTGATACTTATTGAAATTAACTTATTTAATGAACTGTTTAGAAACACATTTATTTCATTGGGGGATATATTTTCATAATTTTTAATTATCTTTGAGATTCTGAATTTAAGAAGCTTCTATAAATTACATAACACTATTTTTTTATAATTTTTACTACACCTGCATCCTTATAATGCACCATAATGCTACCAACTAGACCACTATAAAATTATGTAATGCTATAACAACACCCTATAGTGAACCTAGAATAAAAATTTCTTAAAAAATTTGTTTCCTCACAAAATATTTAAATGATATAATATTTGCTTTTCTTCAGATAATAAAAAAAATAATTTATTTTCTCATTTATATTCAATCTCAATATATATTACAACTAAAATTATAAATGTATGTTAAATCATAAAGAAACAATCCATATTTTTATTTCCATAATTTAAATAACTAAAAAATGTATGAAAAAAAGTAAATTAAGAAATACAAAATTTAAAATTAAATTTATTTAAATAGTAATAAATCATTTGGATAACATTACTCTTTCAATATTTATCTTTGTATAAGTGAGCTTGTGATTTATTTCTTATACACAATAAAGTTTCTCACTCTAGTAAACTGATTGCTAGTTTCTAGAAAATTCGGGTTTTCTTTAAAATAATAATTAGATTTATCATTATCACAAGATAAACAGAAAAGATAGAAGTAAAATGTTTAATTATTATTTTTGACTGTAAACTTATTAAATAAGTTTACAGTCAAAAATAATAATTAAACATTTTACTTCTATATTTTATATAGAATCTATAATCTGAACAACTTGACTGTAAACTTATTAAATAAGTTTACAGTCAAGTTGTTCAGATTAAAAATATAAAAAAATTTTTGGCAAGTTTTATTTATCGTTAGCTTTTATATTTTTAATTTGGATAAAAGGATTTTTTTTCTAAATTTTTTTTTGCAACAGCTCTCGTTTTTTATTGTTTGTTATATTTTTTTATGTCTGTTTTTTATTTAAAACATGATATCTTAATAGCAGATAAAACATTTTTATGTCATTATATCAAGTACTTTAAGTGTAGCACTTAATAGGTAATGTAGTTTGACAGCTTTTTCCTATCTGTTAAGCAATTTTTCAAGGCAGTTGTTGTAACTGAAAGCGTACTTAAATTATTTTCCTGTTTTAAATTTCATGTACAGTAATTCTTTGTTTTAGTTTTGTATTTTCTGATGTTGAGTTGACAGGGCTGAGTGATATACAAAAATATATATATATATATATTAAGTCTTGAATTATTTTACAAATTGATGGAAGCAGGAGAAATGTATCACCAAATTTAAACATTACTGTTGGAGAGAGTGAACTAATGTAAGTGTCTTAAGGTATAAATTGTTATATTTGATTAGAAATTTACATTAATAATAATAATAATAATAAACAAAATATTGTATTTTAGGGATTCAAATCCATTCAGAATACTTCAATAACTGAATGATCAAAAGAAGATATTCAGAACGATGAATTTAGAAATTACGAGCTGATAAGATTGACAAAGGTAAACTAATAAAATAGCTACATTAGTTTGCTTAAACTTAAAAGTAGACAAACTTCATAGAAGAAAATTGTTAAGAATATGCAATGTTTCCATAAGTTTTACACTTCAGTCTCTAATTATACTTATTTCCATTTTTTTCTTTTAGATCAATTTGTCAATCTTTCAATAACATATTTTGCATATAATAATAGACAGATTAAATACTTTTACATATTATTTGTTAAATTTCATCTTTTATTTTAAAGCATAAATTAAAAATCATTTAATTAAAAACTACTTTTTTGTTGATCATAATTAACATATATATCATCAACAGTTTATCTTATTTTTGAGTTTCTCCTTTAAGTTTATAAATTTGGTTATTACTTAAAAATTATATTACATAATTTATTTTTTTAAATTTTAAATATTACTCCTTAAATTTATTAATTTTAAATGTCTTCCAACTTTCAATAAATACTTTTATTAGCTAAGATAAGTTAAATAAAATATAAGTAGTTTTGTTTTTAATCTTAATATGTAATTTTAAAGTTAATATTGTCTTCTTAGTTTTCAGTCAATTAATTTCCATTATAATAATGTTTTTAAAATTTTATTTGTGTTTTTATTTTTGCTCTTTGACTAATAAGAGAGCTGCTTTTCATGCCCATCATAGGCTCAGCCAATTCCACAATGGAATGGTTGGGTGACAAGCAACAGCAACAAATCCCAACATATATGGATCAAACTATCTATAGAAATTTCTGAGGTTTTTGACCTACTTGAATCTTGGTTCTATATAATGGCAGACTAACATCTTGGCCAGCTATCATTCATTCATAATAATGCTTTAGAATGTTCAATGAATTTTATTTAAACTTTATACAAAATAATTTGCCAGATTTTTTTCATTGAACTATATTAAGGCTAATTAATAATCCAAAACAGAGCATTTTGACTAGAGATGGCAGTTAAACTGTCATATCAGAATAAATTTAATAATTAAAAATAAATTAATTATTAAAGTTATCATGAGATGATAACTTTACTAGCCAAATTACCTTGTTTTGGATTATTAATTAGCCTTAACAAAGTTCAATGAAAAAAATCTGGCAGATAATTTGGTATTAGAAATATAGGGTTATGTATGTTGTTATACATGTATTTAAAATTTATTCTTATAAAGATACTGTCTTCTCTTTTATTCTTATAAGTTTTATTCAATATCAGTCTATCAGGTGGATTAGAGTTGATCAAAAACAGAGAAGAAATAATTCTTATTAACATGGAGAATTTAGAATTTCATAATTTAAATGACTTTTATTATTATGGTCATTTCAGATTGAATAATTTATTATGGAAAATTGTTATAGAAATTCTGCTACAGAAAGGTATATGCTTATATATCTGCTAACTTATTTCCATAATAATAATGTGAAAACTTAATATGTATGAATGAATAGAAAAGAAATATTAATTTACTGTTTGACAAAAACTTTTAAACATCTTTGTTGAAATTTTTATAAAACTTATTATATATTGAAGTGTAATACAAAACTTATTGAGAATATGAGATGAGGTGTAGATGATTAAAAATTAAATTTTAATATTTTATATGAAGTAAATGAGATATTAAAATTCTATTTATAAAATTATTAAGTATTAACCATTTTATTTTAATTACAGTTTAATATTTAACTAT